GGCTCTGCCAGACATGGGGGAAGCCTCTGGCAGCTTCTCAAAGAAGCCTCCCCTCTAGCTCTCCCACCCTTCCCCCGCTACCAAAATTTGGCCAAACATGCAATGCAAACCCTATACAAATAAACATGTGTTTGTATGTGCTTTGTGTATATTTCTGCTTTCATTCTTTGGACAAATATATTTTGGAGAATGCCACAGAAATGRGTACTTCTACACCAAATACCCTTTCTGACAGCTTCAATCTCCTAAACCAGAAAAACAAATCCGTTCATTAAGAGGAATATGACAGAGCAAACAGTACGCTGATGCCCTAAATGTGTGAGAGAATGATTTATACTCCCATCTTATTAAGCTATTCTGCAGTCTGACACCAAATTAAATGTGACACTCTGCTAAACATTGGCATGAGTGCTCCAGCAGTCTAGAGCAAGTTAAAACCTTTGCTTTTCCTTCCGTGTGCTCTTCTGAAAAAAGACAAAACTAATTATTCTGTAAACTGAGTTGAATCTTGCAAATCCCAACTGTTTAAATGAAGCTGACACATTCATTTGAGATGGCTGAGGTTGTACACTATTAAAGAGCATCAAAATGGCATGAAGATCAGTAAAAGAGCATCAAAATGGCATGAAGATSAGTAAAAAACTGTTAAAGCCCATGCTTAACCATGAGATTTTAAATGCACACAGATGATGTTGAAACAGGATACAGAAATACGAAATAACTTCTCATCAACTGGTGCAGCAGTTTGTCTTATACGGCTGCTCACAATGGCAGTAAAAGGCACCAACATTTTCCATATGCATTAGAAACTTTCTGTAGGTTGCAGTATGCATCATCAGCTACCTGCTGCCTTTTTGCCTWATACACAGAGGATGTCACACATTTTTTCAGTGACCCCCAGGCTCTTGAACTGTCTTGCACAAGAAGTTACTACTCTATAAAAGGACAAAAAAATTAGAATGAACTCTAAATGAACTACAGATAAAAATCTCCTCTTTTGGAAGCATGCAATATTAAACTGCTTATTTTAGCAGCAATATTTTAAAAGYTAAAACAAAAGAATATKCRTTGRCTGTTAAACCTTTTACAATCTAAATATTCTATCCCTGGCTTACAGATGTAGTTTCATGTATTTCTGTGTCAAAATCTTGTCAAACATTTTTCTCTCAATGTTTATTTTCTGCATTTTTMCCCAGTCTGCTCATAGTAATCACCTTCTCAGAGGTCAAATGACATATTTAGATATGGGTCATTTAGCATACCATTATTGCAAATATAACATATGGCCACTGGGTAATATTTTTGTCAAGTCATAAGAATTGAATTTCAGTGTTCATTCCCTATCTTCCTGTGAATGTAATCCATACAATAAAATTACAGCTAAGTAATTAACACAAAAAGCAGTTTGTGCAATATGCTGCAGTTTACTGTGTATTAAAATAATCATTACTCAAGACTTTGGAGGACTGTTCTCTTTATAGTAATCAACAGTGACTGTGCACTTTTTTCTAGGTCTGAGATGAGCACTCAGATTGCTGCGATTAACAATTTCATTATCTTTAATCATAAATTTTTATTATAATTTTTTTTAAGTACCAAATCTTCTAAACAAGTTGTGCCATTTATGAGGATAACTAAAATTTTGAAAGACATTTTGTAAAAATTTTTAAGTAAAGCAGGGAAACTGAGCTAGAAAACATGAATAATATGTACTGAGTTCCCTGAGTAACTCTTTCTGTATTAATATCTGTCCATGACACACTTGGCACTACATCCTTTCCCCACTCATATCTTCTATCCATGAAAATTATTTTCATCAGTTTGTCTATGTYAATGTCCCAGAGGACACAACCAACCCACAGACACTCTGATGAAGCAGCTGCCTGCAAAACAGCATTAGTGACCGTGACTGGTAGGTTGTTATTTCCCTGGATGTTTGTAGGCACAAAAGATCCTGCATGYACCCACTGCTTCTGATTTGAACAGCAGGCAGTTTTGTTCGTGAGGACAGCGCCAAAAAGCRTTCAAGGTGGATCATCTTCCCTCTTTATTACAGACAAAGCCAGATCATCTGGGAAAGCTATGGACTATTTAGCATTTCAGACAAGAAGTCCATTTATATTCTGTAGAATCCCAGGAGATTTGGGTACATGTCTCAACATGTATGTCTCAAACACGGAAAGCTGGATGGCTGTGGAGCCCAGAAGGGATTATTGGTAATAACAGACAAGAATTGTTGGTAATAACCAAGGATTGTTGGTACTAACACGGTGTGAGGAAGAACAAGRTGTGTTTGGAGGAGGGGCTATATGGAGGCAGGGGCACTTTACCAGGACAAGTTCAGTTTCTGAAGCACCGCCCAGTACAGCGCTCTCTCTCCATCATTTTTTTTTCTCTCTGTCTCCGTCTGTGTCTCCGTTTCTCTCTCACTGTGTATATATATATATATATATATATATATATATATATATATATGTGTGTGTGTGTGTGTGTGTGTGTGTGTATGTGTGTGTGTGTTAGCCCTTTATCCAAACCTCACTGCCATGTGTTTATAGAGTATGTTCAGGAGCTGCAGTATCAACTTCAAGACTTTGTGGACCCTCTAACCTTTGTCATTCCGTTCGACCACAAGCATTTACAAATCTTGGGGTGCTCCCTTCCCCTCGAGGATGCCATGCCACATCCTAGGATGACGCTTGGAGTCTAGGAATGCAATTATATAGCCCATTTCAGAAARAAAAAWAAATCAGTCCATCAAGTAAATTAACAGCTGTTTCTGTCTAATGAGGACACGTCCAAGCCTTCGGAGGAGCAGCTGAGGGAGCTGTGGATGCTCGTTATGGAGCTGTGGATGCTCCGGGGGAGCCCCATCGCTCCTAAACAGAGGCTGTAGGCAGGTGGGGGTCGGCCGAGCCCACCGGCGGGCCGGGGCGGGGGGGTGGGGAGCGCCCCCTGCAGGGCCGGCAGTGGTACGCTCCGCCGGGTTTCCCGCCCCCGGGGGCGCGCGSGCTCGCTTCAGGTGCCTGAGGGCCGCGGCGTGAGGGAGGTGGGAGCGCTGGAAACGCCTGCTGGTGAATAATTGCTACATGCAATTAATATCTACATCTTTCTATAGCTATGTCTATGTTTCACTGCCATGTGCAGCGAAAAAAATTGAAAGCTGAAATATCAAAATGGGATCATCTGCTGCAATAGTTTAAAAAGTGGTACTGGGAAAGCATGGATATCAAGGGGTCAAAGAAGCATTAAAGGAAGGTGTCACTTTTACAGCAGTCAAAACCACAGTTTAAATCTTTAATTTTCCCCCGGTGACATAACTATCGTTCAAAACAGAGTAGGTGGCTYAACAATAATGTCTTTTGGGAGACAACATGTATAATAGTAATATGCACAAAAATAAGAGTGATTAGGTTTCTTGCTGGAAAAAACAACATTAATAATACAACATTATTTTTAATTTACTGTTTCAGTTCAGCAGGAGTTTTGTACCCGGTGGCACTGTTGCCAAGTGCTTAGCACATCCTGTCTTTCGAGAAAACAAATGGTGCCATAGAATAAAGAAACACACAATACCGCACAACACAGCAGCTCTCTCAACTCCCATCCTCTCAAAATGTGGAGGGTGAAACACAGTTGTAAGATTATAATGAAAAAAGGGGTGATACTGCCCATGATAAGGATTGGAAATGTCAGGAGTTAACGTAGTTTACATTTAGATTATCATAGTTAATATTCACAGTTTGCATTTAGATTATCAACTAATAGGATATTTAGATGTGTAATTGTTTTAAAACTTTGGCATGAACAAATTTTTAAGACCCCAGTTTAACAAACCATTGCATTGCAGTAAATTACAAGTCATTAGAATTGCTAATTTAGTAAAAAAACCCCAAACCAAATTATTCTAACTAAAAAGCATTATTTTTTTTTTTAATGTTTACTATATTTTGAAAAATGGTTAATTAAAAAAAAAACTAGGCTTTGGTTTATGAGTGAGTTTTAGTCTCACAGAGTAAACAGTGGGCACAAGAAAAAGAAGTATTAAACATGCAGAACCAAATCTTACTGCTTTGGTAAAGAAGTTACACACACATAAAAGATTGTAAATACTGAATGACTGAGGGAGTAAATCAGTTATGTAATTTTGGTTCCTGCTTAGCATTGTGCATTTATCTCTCTGTTTCTGCCTAACTGTACTGTGAGTATTTCTGTCTGGAATCCCAGTCAGTTTCTGGGTAGTGAACACATTCTGACTTCTGGCTCATCTCTCCAATTGGAATTCTTCTGTTATTTGGAAAAATGCTGTTCACACATTACCACATAGAAATTATGATTTTGTTTGGACCACATGGTTTACTGGTATTGGAATTTTTGTCTCATGAACTCTGATGTTCAGAGATAATTTGAMATTTTTTGGAAGCATTCATGTTGTGTACTTGAGATCCATATGTTGAAGATTCTGTAAGTAGAATTTATAAAAATAGGAGTTGTGTTAAAAACCTGGGACTATATGGGTCCCTTTCAAAATACTGTCTTTTTATTCTACAGCAAGGGTTTTGTGTTGCAGTGTCTACCACTAATTTAACACTTGTTTAGAAGAAATTATATAGGTACTTTTAAACCTGAGTAGTTAAGTATTAGAGCATCACACACGTAAAAGATGCTTCATTAATATGTGCCTAGTGCATTATTCTGTCTTTACAAGTGGAACCACATTAATTTTTTAATTGCAGAAAAATTTCCAAATTCAACTACATTATCAGTTTGACAGATTTTGCTTGGACTTTCTGACATTCATTGTATTTCCTAAAAATGCAGAATCGTAAGTAGGATGAAATTTATCTTCACATGCAAAAAATAGTTTTAATTTTAAAAAAAAAACTGTGTTCTGCTTACATTTGTGCCTAAGAATTTGTATACTATGAATGAGAAATATATTAATTCATAGATCTATTTTTATATCTATATAGTGATCATTTGATTATATGATCCAGATACAAATGAATCATAGTAGTCAAGAAACTATGAAGAAAACCAGTGTGGTGAACCTTGATAAACTTTTAGATGACTTCTCAGAAATAGAAAAGGTAAGTGAAGAAGATGAAAAATGTTGAGACTATCATCTATAATTATTATGGGAGCTTTGAAAAGCTTTTCAAGCGTAAATTTCTCAAGTGGTATCAGCTTATGTTTTTGCCTTGTAATACCTATTTTGGAAAAATGTAGTGATTGCATTTTGTTGTCATAGGAGTGAATTCTGTGTAGTCTAAGAAACATTTGTTTATGTGCTAGAATTTTAATCATGCAGAGACCAATTTGGCTTCTCAGGAAGGATGTGGAAAGTGTTGAACGTAACAGTACTACACTGCTTTCATGGAATCACWGGCTCATTTGGGCTGGAAGGGGTCTTAAAGACTACCTAGGGCCAACTCCCCTTCTGTAGGCAGGGACGCCTTCCAGTAGACCAGCTGATCTAGTGCTGGGGTAGCCTTTCAGAAATCATTCCTTCTTCTAGAAAAATGTCATCGCCTTAACAGGAACATGAGTTCTTACATTCCATATGCACTGAGCTTCCTTTACTTTATATGTGTGTCATTTCTTAAAAGATTGGTCCACTGAGGATAATCAGCACTGTATTTCTTTTTAGACCAATGTTGATTGGCTTTCTGCTGATTTCCTTATGAACAAATTATTAGAGGTGGTACAGGCATTTGATAAATAAATTTAGTATTTCTCTTGGAATAAACTTATTATACCAGTTCCTATTCCACCCACTGGTCAAATTGTTGCTCTGCAAGAGCTATGRCAGCCTTATATGCAAAGCGGTAGAAAGAACCTTGCAGAGAATTGATCTGGACTCTGTGCTACAGAATTGAGAGGAAAATAGTTTATAACTCATGATGTACATCAGCATTCTTACTTCCACAGGGTAAACTGGGAATAGCACAGGGTCTAAAGTCTAGCATCATTCTTCTTTATAAAGGAATTTCCTGAACGGGAAATAGTACAGGCTTGTGACTACAGTATTGTTGAATTGTTAAATTTTTTATTCACTGAAAACGTAAAACATGTAAATATAGTCTTTTTCAATTGTCTAGAAAATATCAGAAATTAATGAAGCAAATAACCTACTGATTCATCAGCTGGAAAAATGTAACAGATTGCTAACATTAAGCCAATCAAAGGAGGAATCAATAAAAGAGGGTAAGTTATTTTTCAGAAAGGTATGATTTTTGTGTATGTTCTAGAAGTTTTGAGAAATATTTCTATTATTTTCATCCAAAAATTATAATGGCAAGGATCTAAGATATCATGGGAAAAGCAGTAATGCCTAATCTTGATTCATGTAATGAAATCCATCTCATAGTAATTATTAATATTCATGTTAATATGTATGTTAATATTCATATTACTAATAATAATATTGTGAGGATTCAGACTGTTCAATGGAAACTAATAAAAGTTCATTCACCATTTAGAGATGGAAATTATAAGTCTATAATCATAATTAAAATGTTGTGAAACCAAGGGGGAATTACATAGAAAACAATAAAATCAGGACTTTTTGTTTTACTCTAGAACTGTTTTCCKATGAGTATTTGAAATGAGAAACAATATCTATTGCTTAGCCACTGACTTGTGGTTACTTATTCTTCTGTAGCATAGCTGAAAGGTGCATATTTTTGTAGGACTTTCATCTCTGGGAAGTCAACCTGCTGCAAGTTAGAGAAGAGGGTAGGAATAAACTTAGCTTCACACAGGAGTAAGATTGTCAGTTGGTTTCATTTAAGTCTTTATTGGGCATAATCASAAATTAAGTTTTGAAGTTGAGCTATTGAGTGAGTGACATTTGYTTATGATGATGATAACCCCTTAGATAAACTAAGAAATTCATTGTAGAGGATGACAGGGAGATGGAGACCAGTAGCAGTGCRCATGGGAAGCATTTCATATAAAAAGATGTTGATCTTAGTTGGTTGCTTCTCAGGAAAGGGATCACGGTAGCCTTGAACAGTTCTCTWAAAGTACTTATGTTCTTTTAAAATATCACTAGACAATGAAGCAAGCACTATGGTAGGCATGATTATGGAAGAAAAAAAGAGAAGTAAACATTGTGACTCTAAGGTCTGTGATTTTCATGTAATGTTCGGGTCCACACATCTCAAAACAGCCAAAGGAGAGCTAGAAAAGGTAAGAGAGAAGGAGGCAAGGCTTGATGTTGTCAGGGAGGAGCAAGGTACAAAGAATCAGGAACCATGGATGTAGCGGCTTAACCATGCAAGACTCGCTCCCACTGTACCCACGCAGGGCTGGCCCAGCAAGGACTGCCACAGTCAGMCAAAATTCTGCATTACCAAACAAGTCTGTACTGATGGGAGTGACCCAGGAGGCTGAGTCAGAATGGAGTTCAGAAATGGTAACAAAGGCCAGACATGACCCAAGGATCACTACTTGGTCCCAAGTGATGGGTTAGGTCTGATATCAAGCCAGAAAATAACTCCCTAGCTCATGACCAGGGTCTGGTATGTGGCTGCCACATTAACTGCAGCATAAGCCAATGCCAAAAGCCTCAGCTTAAAAACAGCTTCCAAGGAAAGGAGGCAMAGCCATTGTTGAATCTCCTGCCAGCTTTTTTCAAGGTCACCATCTATACTCTTGCTAAGATGGCCTTGTGGCCAGCCAAGCACCCAGAAGGTGTGTGGGGGAAAATGCRCTTGGGGCCTTCACCAGTTTGGTCATGGTTTTGGAACATCTGAAGGAAGACTTCAGTTGACTGGAAACTTTCTGGCCAAGAAAAAGAATAGAGCTGATATGACTCATAGCTGTAAAATTGTGAATGGCACAGAGAAAGTGACTACAGAATGAATATTCTTTGCCTAATGTAATAAGAAAACTAGACGGAAATAAAAGTTGTGTATTGATTTAAAGCTGACCAAAAGGAAGAACTTTTCCATACAATAAAGTTAGATCAATTCCACATAATGCTCAATGGATCAATTCCACAAAGTGCATTACAAAAGTATAGATTAGTCCAAAATAGATTGGAAAAAAATCATGGAAAAACACTTAATGGAACTTTTAAACACCAAGACGGTATCTCTCATTGTCTCCCTTAATTTTTAGTTTTGGAAGTTGAGAGGATGCGCTAAGGATAGCATTTATCCAGCTTTTTTCATCTTTCCTGAAGTATCTTGTAGTGCRTATTTTGAAGTGGCATAGTGAACTGGATGGAACTTTGATTTGAGTCAGAAACCCTTGTTTGTCTATTAAGCACGAAAGTCAGACAGTGCAGGACATTCAGACAGAAACAGAAGAGGCTTCTTCATTGATGCAACCAGAAAGTAGTGGGTTTGTATAAAATAGTTTGTAAAAAGGGAAAGGAAAAGATGGACAAAAAGAAGAAACAATTCTTACTGTAAAACCTATGGGATAAAAGGTAGCAGAGAAAGTGAAAGAGACAAATCAGGAAATCAGAGCAGTTTGAATGACTGCAACAAACAAGTGGAATGGACTGAAAACAGATCAAAATCAGAAGAGAGAGAGACCCGAGCTTTGTAAACAGTAGTGCCTCACTTTCATGTGATAAGAGAGAAATTATTCGATAACATAGTTATGCTGATATAACTGAAGAAAACAGCCTGTGGAGCTTCTTTCGAAACATGTGTTGGAAAAAAAAAGCGTGGGTGGCAGAAGCCCAAGTAAAAATACCAGAGCAATCAGCCTGAAATATGAACTAATACTTCAGCAGCAGGGATAGTCGGGAGAAAAACAAATCTCAACAATATTGAAATCACAGGAATAGTGCAGATATAGACAGGARTCAGAATTGCTGGAAGACAAGGATCCTGGTCAATGAGTTAGAGTTGTCACAGAGATATTAGTAGCATTGACAAAAAAAAAGTGAAGAGCAGGAACTTAGAACAATGTGGGACATCCGAGAGGTGATTCTGAAAGCTACTTGATGATAAGGAAGTAAAAATTATTAAGATGCCAAAGGGATAGAACGTATTTAGAACTAAAGACAGTTATCATGGCTACTGTGTTAGGTTAAGCTCAGAGAAGTTGTGGAGTTTCACCTGCTGGAACMATTCAAGAACCATCTGGGTGCAATCCTGTGCTCTGGGATTGCCCTTCCTGAAGAAGGAAGTTGGGCCAGATGACCCAGCGAGGGCCCATGCTGTGATTCTGTGTTTACCACTAAGGTAAACTATTAGGTTAATGTGCTTACCAATTAGGTAAACCCTTCAAATATCAGGGCAAAAAATGCTTATAGTTTTACGGTTTGAACTGTATTAAATTTTGGTGCTCAGAAAGCAGAGTTTCAAAAAATTGTCTTGGGCAGAAAACTGACATAAAGTGCAGCAGGTGCTGTCACAAGAACCTTTAGATAAACAGTTTGCATGTTACTGGAGATAAGTAGAGCCTGTAAAAAGTGGTGGTGACATTAAGAGCATTTCCAAAGGGTGTGAAAGGCTGGTGTAGTGATTATGAATAAGTAAGTCTATAAGGTTTCTAAATCCTCTTTCATTTTGCAAATGATAGAAATCATCTTTTAACCTTTAACCTGCTGACCCTTCAAAAGGGGTAATAGCATATGTGTGATTCTGTTCAGAATCAGAGTACTAAAAAATTTGCATCTAATAGTTCAATTCTTTATAAAAACCTTTTAGAGGGTCAAACACTGTGGGATTAAAAAATGCCCCAAACACTCTTAAATATTGATGGGGTTATAAAGGAGTCCTCTGCAGAACTGTAAATGGCACAAGGGACAAAATACAGCGTTATTATTTCCAATCTTACTCTGGCAGTAGTTATCTGAACAGATTGTAGTTGTAAGAGTGGCTTTTATAGAGTGGTATTTCCACTTGTGGCTTGGAAAAAAGATTTCTCCTAGCCTTATGTCCCAGACTGTTTCTCAAAACCCAGCTCAGCCACAGTTCTTAAAAGCATCTTCTGAAGTGTTGGTCCAAAGGCAACAGAAATTGCTTACAGCAGAAGAGCAGGAAGAAAGTGGGCTGTTGAAGAAAAGGCTATTGTTWCACTTACCCTGAACAGTTTGTGGCTACTAGTAGTATTGGGGTGGAGGWTATCCTGGCTGAAGAGCACCTTGTTTTAAGAAGATTCCTTGATATCCTTGATTGTCAAAAGTCTTCCCCTAGAGCTGTTTAAAGTAAAAGAAGATTGGAAATTCTGAAGAAAATTCAAAGGAAGAAAGAAAACATCTAAAAATCAAGGGAGGTAGTAGTGAAGCACTTATACTCAAGGCAGTAAAAGAAGCAGCTTGGCCAGTGTATACTTAGTCTAAGAGATCATAAATTAACTCAATTTTCTCTTGATACATTCTTTGTTAAACAAAGATWAGATTCAAAACAACAGCTTTTGTTTTGTGTAAATCATTGCAGATCCATTTATGACAGATACAAGTCTGGCATCCTTGTTTTTTGCTCCTAAACCTTTTCTGTGGTGACTAAATAGACTCTTCAGTTCTGAGTTAAATTCTGATGTTGTTTTCTGAAAGAAAGCAATCACATTTTTGTCTATGTAACACTTAAGGAGGTTCTATTTAGCATCTTCAGGGTTGCATATTTGTTTATTTAGTGTTTCTAAGGTGTTAAAGGAAAAAGTGGTTGATGTGATTGCCCTATAAAAAAAATCAATTATAAATGCAGAAGATCACTTAAGCTGTTCAGTCTTTCTGCGAGTAGGCAGTATTACTTAAAGGGAAGGAACTACACAAAATCCATAGCAGATGTTATGCCAGTGATCCACAAAGCTGCAAACATTTAGAAAAATTCTGCTTTTTWTCCTTAATATAGGCAAGCAAAACTTGTGGTTACCCTGGAATTTTTTGCATTCATAACTGTAATTACGTATGGGATTTGCCAAGATATGTCCTTTAAAGATAAGAAGGATAAGCAGATATACTTGGGACTGAACAAAGAGCAGCTTGCTCTTAAATAGTTGTGATTCYTTTTAAAGACTAGCTGCTGCTATAGTGTTCACTCAGATGTCTTTCCAAATTGTGCATGAAATGCAACGTCTGAGTTTATTTCCATACATTTTCAAATGGGAGAAAATTTGTAGTAGAACTAGTTGTTACAAACGGGAATGCTGATCTAGTCATTCTGTCTTTGAATAGGATTTTTCCGCAAATGCCTTTGATAAAGCGCAGGAACTGAGGGGCCGGCAATGTTTCTGTGCTGCTCATGCTCCCTCTACTGGTTTTTTTTTGGAAGCATGGAACAGGAAAACGTGTCTGGCTAATGTACTCGGCTGCATGAAAAGCTGATTTGATGGAAGAATAGGCTAATGGTCAAAAAGACTGAGCAGAAAACTGAATCTATTAGCTGGGATCTTAATTCATCTTCCTCACTCCATTATTTGCAATGTAATCTTTAATTATATGACAGACAGTTTTCAAAATGGCTTTAGTTTGACAAGACAAGAAAGAGTTATTCAGCCAACTTTTGTCCACTGTGGAAATTAAAAGCCACTTAACAAATTCAGTGGTATTCTGGAAAGATAAWTTTTTTAAATAAGCAATCTCAACTGTAGGGCCTTCACTGTTCCCAGTTTTTGACTGTTTTGTGAATCTACTGRTAAATTCACAATGAACACAAGGGATAAAAGTTTTATTTAATGAAAACCATATCCTGTATTACAGGAAGTACATATTGTGTTTGAATATTAAAAATACAGTTTAAAAAATAAAATTATGGAATACAAGTATGTAACTGGTAACAACTTGCATGTATAATCATGTTTTATAAAATGAGATAATGCAGATATAGCACATATTCTAAATCTCTCAAAGTTTTTGTTGAGCCACAAGATGAATGTTACATGCATCAAGAGGGTAAAAAAGGAGTGAGAGACTGCAATGAGTGGATACTCCTGGTCTTGTTAAAAAGCATATTAGCTAGGAAATACTGTCAGGAAAGTAAGTCTCAGTTTCATTAAATACATGAAATTGCTGGAAGGCTCATATGGAAAACTTCTGGTATTGCCCAGGAAACAAAGAGATGCTTGTTTTCTGACTAAAAATGGAAATACARTAGTTTTATGAAATTGTTTGTATTGCTTCATAAAATTGATTTTAATCTATCATCAAACAAAAAGCTAAAATTAATCAGTAATCATGTAATAATGATCTGAGCTACTTCTACAGTTAGTAAGACTTTTAGCAATATTTAACCAAAATTATTATAAAATATTTGAGCAAATTTTGTAAACAAAATGTAAATCTRTGAAGACACTATTCAAAAATACTGGATCTTTTATTTCTTTCAGAATGTAGTACTCTGCAGATTGTGATAAAGGGTCTAACACAAACCATTGARAACCAATGTAATGTGAAAGGTAAAGGCAAAATACGTTATTTTATATTTGCTATGCTGTAATTTTGAATGAGCAGAAATTTAGTTTTTTATTTATGTTTACTGATTTTTTTTAGACAGAGATAGTTACTGGCAGACAGAAAGGAAAAAGATTTATCTAAAATCAATCTTGTGCAATAATAAATTCTATTGCCATTATCCTACTTAGAAACTGCCTAAGGAAGGTTCTTTAAATCAATAGTTGAGCTTTAAATTCATTTCAGCATAACACAGGCAATTTTACAAAAGTGGAGAAAGTATTCAGGTGTTGGATTGCAGACTATTCAAGTGTTTGTGCATACCTTTATCACTTAGCTAAATCAAAGTGTCTTAATCCTCGGTATAATGTTATTAAATGTTGTTGCTGTTATCCACATATACTTGACAGCTGCTAAWTTTTACTTGAACATAAAATATGTAAATATTTGCTCCATCTTTGTACAACAGCTCAGCAGTTCACCATGTAGTTAATTTTATAACCATTATGTGTTCATGGCATATTAGCATATGTATTTATAAACCTCATGCATTGGAAGTATATGGATGCATTTAATACTCAAACAGATATTAATAATAAAAAAACATTACTTCTTTTCTCTGAATTCTGTTTTTGCATACTATCTTCCAGTTTTGGGGAAACAAGTACTTAAACAMTTGCATCTTCCTATTCTGTAGAAACTGTTGTAGACATGATGATGGTATTTTATTTTCTGAGTCAAAGAATTTTGCATATAAATGTTGTTGAATGCCTAATTTATCAGAAGGCTAAAGACAGTTCCAAGTGGTAATACCAGGYGAGTATTATGATTTAACTCTGATTTTTCTTCTTAAAAAATGGAGACTGCCAGTGTGTAGTTCTGTAATGATTATTATAATGTCCATGAAAAAGTTTCTAAAAGTTTAGCCAAGTCAAAAAATGGAAGTAATTTCCGTATTCTGCATTCATGCTAATGAAATTGTCAAAATGTACTTTTTAGTGTACCATATAGTCTTTATTTTTCTAGATGAAAATGATAGACTGAAGGGTACTATTCACATCTTGGAAGATAAATTAAAGACTTGTGAAGAGGTATGTTATAAATTATTATTCTTTAGGTAAAACAATAGTATTGTATCCCTATTGTATTGTATATTTTTTTTTATTTGGTTTGCTATTAATACTATTATTGTTGCTTTTCTCTTAATGTTTATCATGTGTAAAAAGAGCAGGGTTGTTCTCATGATAGTGTCCATACCAGAATGTGTTAGAAGAACTTAGATGTTAAAACTGCCTTGATGCTGAGAGCTTTGGCTCARTCTAAGATGGACTTGGGTTTTTTTTAGCTGCATTTATCTTTAAATTCAGCTTCAACTTCACAATTCTAATCCCTCGCATTAAAATAACTTTTTGTATGGAAATAAGGTTTTGACATTGAGGATGCCTGGATGTACTGCCAGAGAATCAGGAATGGTCTGAATTTTTTGTAGTTTCTTCAGGTATAAAGATTACAAAGATAATAGGTCTYTACTTCTTATGTGTATCTCATAACACATTCCATGTATGATCTCTACTTTTTATCWATGCCACTCCTTTTTGCAAAGGAGGTAAAACCACAGCCTAGTCATATTCTCTGCTGTCATACTTCTCTGTGTGAAGAGATCTGTTCTTCTCTGTGCAGATCTGTTACCTGTTTAGGATTAGGAATCTCACTGCTGATTTCCTTTGCCTGTGTTTGTACTATGAGTTAAAACTTAATTTTTATACCCATAGAGCTGTTACCTTGACAGTTTGAGTAAAACAAGAATAATGCCTTTGAAGCATGTGAGAAACTATTATTCCATCCATTAAACATGTGTATGAGCACAGTGGRAGATCCTGGTGCTGTTCTGAAGGCACAAGATTATGTCCTCCTATACCCTTACCCCAATCAGCAATTGCCTTTGGGAGTGCCCCCAGGCATTGCTCTGGTGAGTGGCTACCTATCTTGTCAGAAGACTACAATAAGAGCTTTGGACTGAGCACCTCCACAGTGGCAGCTATGGACAATTCCTTGATAATTCTGAAGTAGTTCCTGGAGTAAATTTATAATTGGTGTGTTCAAACTTTGAGTATCAGTGCCRCCAGCATCACTGCTGCTGGTGTCACTGATGTGTCTACTGCTGCCAGCATGAAGTTGTTGGAATCCTTGGTATAAGCAATACTCACAGAATTCATACTTGAATCWTGCAATCCTAGAGTCAAAAACCCACAAAGGTGAAACTGTAGTCCCTTAACTAACTGCATCGTGTCAGATCCCAGTCTAGGGAACGGAACATTACTTTTGCATTTACCTGTTCTCCTAAGAAGTACAATTTCTAATTTTGTATTAACAGATAGCTGCAATGCAATGAAATCTGCTACATTTTTCATCTGTGGACTTAAGCCASCCTGTGTAAGAAGTAATTGGGCATTTAAATTAACAAGATTGAGGATAAAACTAGAACTGAAAATTATAGAGTACTGTACATTTTTGCATGATGGCAAAAGGCTAAGAGTACATAAACTGCAAGATCTTTATAAAACATTTTACATTCACAGAAATATAAAGATCAAATTGAGAAACTCATGATAGAAATTGAAAACAAAGAKGAAGACCACAAATTAGAAATAGCACAGTTGAATTGCGATATAAAGAAAAAATGTAAGTTCTCTGAAGACTGAATGCTTTAGCAATGGGTAAAACATCCTGTAAGCTGTAGAAGCTACATTTCATCTGGGATAAATTCGACTTCTTAGTGGAAACATGCGAACACTAGAAGCGGGCAGTGTTTAACAGAATTTTGTGTTTTCTGARGACAGTAGCTAGACAGTGGTAATGAAGTAATAGTAAAGCAACGCAGGATAAGCAGAAATTCCCATATAGTAAGAAGAAATGCTGGGAATGGGGGCCTAAAATTTTGAAGGAGTAAAATTTTGGGTTAAGTGTTGACTGGAACCTTGCTTTGAACTCTAAGCTGGACTGCTGTTAGAATGTTCAGTCTGTGTTCAGGAGACCAGGACATTATTTTCACAAATAATACTGCAATGAGAAAAAACTGATTTCAATGTTCATTTTCTCCATTAGAGCATAACCTTAAAGAATAGGACTTTTTAGTCACCCATATAGCTGCAAACTACAAGGAAAGTTTTTGTAAAGTATGATGCTTTTTTAAAAAGGCACCATCTTACTGGGGTGAGATAAGTGTGGCTTTAAACATAGTTCCAGTAAGGGTTTTACTAGAATGAAATTGTCTTCCAGTGAAATGCTGACCGAGCGTTCAAGGAAGTTTTGGTATTTTGCAAATTATGTTCATTTTTCATCTAAACATCTTCTAAAATTGTAATATTTGGTGTTACTCTGTTGCTAGTTGAATTAAAAGAAATGGAATATAAAGAACAGAGAGAGAAAAAAGAACTGGAAATATTAGASCTAACAAGACAGCTAAAAATTCAAAATGAAGAGAAGCAAAACGAAATAATTAAACTGCAGATAGAGGTATGCATTAGAAAGCTGACTTGAAAACGAACTGGGCCTTGGGTAAACTTCAAAGAGACAGTGTACTGAAAAGATGTTAATTAGTACTTAACAAACTAATATGGTGGAATCTAGAAAACTCAGTTAATGTCTTTACAAGGRTCAGTGGCAGAATCTCCCTTCCACAATGGTAACTGACTCARTTCTGCTCAGGAATCAGGAATCTCCCTATGCCTACTGTATAGGAGACTGAAGGTTGCTCTTTTTCCAAATCAAATTAATTTGAAACCTTTTTAGGTTTTAAGCTATAAAAAAATTCAACAATGTTTTCTGCTTAACCATCTTGGGTTTAATTTCTGAATGCTGCTAATGTATTTTGCTAATAAAATTCCAACTAAAAATTCTAATTCTGCAAACATTTAACCCAGAACATTCAACATGTATTTCATTGCTCAGGTTTTAAACAACTCTCATTATAGAAGGGACTCAAACCTTTCACATATCAAAAAAGAAATCAGATGTGAAAATGTTCAGACTGAGTTATCCTTGGAACATAAGAGAAGAATGATGGTTTCAGAGGTTTTCAGATCCTCTGTATTTTCTCTTTCTGTAGACATGTGGCTGAGAACCTTCAACYTTTTTTTCAGATACATCTTTTTTGTCTACATAGTTTTCATTTATTTGTCCTACTTTGGCAAAATTTTGAGGCATTTTTTAAGAAACGTAACTTGTAACTGCATTCTTCTTTAAATAAACATAAGTAGCTTCATTTTTCTAGGATTAGTTAGTAGAAAGGCTTACTGCTAATGCCCTCAGGTAAAAAAAGAAAAAAAAAAAAAAA